TCATCAACTTCTTCTTTTTTTATTATTATTGTTAGTACTACTACTACTATTATTACTATTACTATTACTATTATTGTTGTTGTTGTTGTTATTGTTGTTGTATTATTGTTATGTATAATTTATACAATTAACCTCCTTATGATTCGACCACGCTCTTATTAGGTTATTTATTACTTCGACACTCCTGCACTTGTGAGAAGATATCAATTTTTTGATAGTGTCACTTGTGTAATGCACCAACCACTTTTCAAAGGTTATGATAAGTATCTTTAGTGACATGTTGAAATTTTTTTTTAAAGTTTTCATGAATGATTGTTTAGTTTATAGAAATTCTTATTAATTATATTTAATACATTTAAAAATAATAATTAAAAGGCACCAAGAAAACAATCTTGATACAGCACAAACAAAACAAAGGTTAGAAAAGTATCCCTCTCTAAGATCTCATTCTTATAAAAACAAGGATAGGCACTTACCACACTGTCCTTGGTCCTTGACAGGGGTTACAGCTCCTTCCTTTCCCCAGTCCATGGTAGAAGGCACTGCAGAAACGTTTTCATATCTGAAAGGACCTGCCTGTGGAGAGCACATATGGCCCTTGAATCTGGTGCGTGAAACTTTTAACTCTTCATTTTTAAGATCTGCAAATTGATTGACACCAAGTTCGTAAGATTTGCCGGTTTGACTGTTAAAAGCATCTATGCGTGCAACATTCTCGTTGAATATGCTGTAACGGGTCGCCCTCTCGCTGTCATCCTTGTATACACGCACATACTGAGTCATCCATTGCTCATGCCTCTCATACATGGGTGCATCCTGGAGGGTTCGAGCTATGGACTTATAAGGCCAAGCTCCCAAAATGAAGAGCAAGGCCAAACAAACATATTGGAATTGTTTAGTGAATCTCATGGCAGCCTTTGGTATTAGTAGCACGTATATTAGGGAAGCGATGAGTAAGCTGATAGGCATACTATCTTCACGCACCCTTTGAGGTTTTTATAGGGACTCTGCTCCTGTCACTTCGTATGCTCCACAAGACAGGCCTTTCAACTATATATGTGTGCCCTTCAAAATGTTCTAATTTTGACCCCTATGATTAACTAATTTAACTGACATCGTGTTGTGTTTTTTAGCCAGCATGAATTCAGACAGTTCAAACTTTCCCTTCATGAGTATATTTTCTAATGACTGATGAGTATTGTCTTTAGTAGGCTAATAAATGGTTTTCGTGCAGTGATTTTAGTCCCATCTTTTGGCTTCAGATGCCCTATAATTTTAGAAGCAGACATAAATACTCTTACCGTGCCGTTTGATTCACAAAAGGAATAGTTTTAAGAGATTTTCAGATTGTAACAAGAGGTGGCCTACCTTTAGGTTACTGCATCGGACTAAAAACTAGGAAAATTGTAGTCTCTCTGTAACTTTAGTAAACGTGCTGGTCTGTATTAGGACAAGAATTTTGATGGGTGCTTGAGTTTAGAATCTAGAAGCCAACGTTTTGTTTTTGAACGAGGAATAAAATATACAGAGTCCGCATAGTCAATGACCAGGTTAAGTTGTATGTGAAATAACATTACTATTCCGTGTAAGATTATTCTATCGAAATCAATCTGTTGCTACCATGCATTGCCTTCTTGAAAGGTGGTTTTTACTTTGATAGATCAACGGGAGTTGTATCTTTAAGATATGTGTGGCTAGACTCTAGAGCATGACACTAGCTAGATAGAAACTAAAGTTGAGACTGGCTTTTTTAGAACATGAATTTGCCTTACAATTTTGTCTAAAATTAAAAGAAAATGGTTTATGAGCATGCTTCACCTTTGAGTTCCAAGCAAACTGTGATGTTTTGAAGAATAAAAGGAAAAGGATAAGTAGGAAAAGGCAACAATGCCTTTGGAGGTCTAGAATTAGGTGTAAATGGATGAAGGATATTGAGGTAATTGAATAAAAGCTTGATAAGAATAAATAGGAGGTTAAAAAATGAAAAAAAGAGGACTTGAGAGAGAGAGAGAGAGAGAGAGAACCAGTAATAAGGAGAAGAAGAGGAAAAAGAAGAGAATTGTGAAGATTACGTGATTAAGGTAAGGTTTATACTTTAATGTGTGTAATTATGGTTTTTAGCCTTGATTTATTGGTTTTGTTAAGGTTTAGGATATCAATTTGTATTTTTAGAGATTAATTGAGGAATTGAATATGTGTGATGAATTAGTTGATTATAATATGATGGGTTCAAGTGTTATAGGTTATTTGATATGAGTTTATTAATTTGTTATGAGTTTATTTGATATGATGAGGCTAGTGATCAAGAATCTAGAATCCCAATGAACTATCTCACCAATTTGTCTAAATTGATTGACCATTTGGCTTGTCTTATTTTGGTCCACTGGTTGGGTAAAGCTAGTTGACCAGTTGGTGTATTGTATTTCGGTTGACCTATTTGTCCTAGATGGTTTTGGTCAACCAATAGGGTTGAATTGGTAGACCAGTTGACCTAATAATGCAGTTAGATAATTCTTTTTGGATTAATTAGTTTAGGTTAAAGTTTAGGATCGATCGAGTGGATAGATTCTAGTTTATAATTATATTTTATTCCTAAACATATAAGGTTATGGATTAGACTCTAAGTTAAATGTATTAAATAAATTGTACATTCCTTTCGAATTATTTTTTAGTATGTTTTTTTTTGTATTTAAATAATCTTGATATTTCACTTGTGAAACATCAGTAGGATTCCCTTGAACATCTGCATTTGAGATCTCTTGTTTTTTGAGTCAGTGAGTGGATAACTTTTCCGATACTAGAGGATTTGTATAACTACTTGAATTATTAATAAGAAATTGGTCATGCTTCTTGGTAATTCTTATATTGTTATTTATTCCTTATTTATGATTAAACATGCTAACTTATTAAAACAAAATCTTTGATATGAACTATTATGTACTTCTGAATTGATAGCTCCTCATTTGATTGATATCATGAGTTAAGCCTTGAGATATGAATCTATTTGTTTAATTATGATTGAACCTATGGTATGCCAATCAGAATACCCATGCTAACATGATAGTGTTAGTTTTTTTACACATCGTATATGAAACTATAGTTAGTCGAGGGAGTTACCAACCTATATTGACTAATCATCCCACAATACGGAGTCTTATGCTCATTGCATTTTTATTTTTTTAACAAGCGTCTTATGCTCATTGCATTTTTATTTTTTAACAAGCTTCACCATATGATATTCTTGTTATGGTCTATTTAAGAAACTTTCCTACAAGAACCTAAAGCCATATTTGCATATATATTCCCTATCATTGTATTACTTAGAGTATTTATTGAACATTAACTTCTCACCAAGTTGTTGAACTCATCCGCTTGTTATTTTTTTCTAGGCTTATAGCTTGTTAGCAAGATGCTTTTATTGGACCTTCAGAACTTGCTCTTTTGTTGTAATTAACATTATTCAGTCATGTCTAGCTAGTGCTTCACAATTACAGAAGTTTGTATTAACTTTTGTATCAAGACAATCCAATAATATTATGAAGTTAATTTTGTTTTTAGTGTTGAATTGAACTTTGATTGAGTTATTTAATGAATAAGTTTGTATGTAAGTTTAGGTTCATATAAGTATGGAACCCTTGCCTATATACTATTTATGGATTCAAGAATCAAGTTGTGACAAACATGATATTAGAGCTTTAGGTTAAAGAAATAATAATATAATTAATTCCATAATATATAGAGCATTAGGATCCCTTCATCTTGTAATTTAATTAATTTCATAGCATGTCTTCTTTGACTCTTTGCATTTTGTGATAGATATGATTTCCTATAATTCCATGATAATTATCATGCTATTGTTCTAGCATGATTTAAGTGTTCTTACTTTTTATAGGAAATGTTGAGGAATAAACATATAATTGGTTTAAGTAGAGTAGGTGACAATTAGGATAATGTTTCTATTATGCAATTGAGGACTACAAAGTAGAGGAGAAGGAGCGGTTCACCCGCACCGCAACATGTTAAGGAGTTACCTCCACCAATGGAATAGGAGACTCAGGAGTTAGAAAACAAAAATGTGGTTGGTGAAACATGTATAGGGGTAATAGACCCTAAGCTTGTTATAGAGTTTTAGCAACTTAGCCAGGCTATACAAACCTTAATAAGGCTTGCTATTGAGACAGATAGGAGAAGGGATAGTTGTACCATCATCATCACATACTATGTAGGGAGTCAATATGCCATTGAATGACTTCATGAAATTGACACCTTCTACTTTTACTTGAATGCATAATTTAGAGGATTCTTAAAGGTTTCTATATGATATTTGATGGTAGTGTGAAGCTTTACAATATACAGACCATCAGGCTATGAGTTTGGTATCATTCAGATTAGATAAGATGTGGCAATCTCTTGGTTTAAGTCTAAGATGAGAGCAAGGCTAGTAAAGGCTCAGTGGACATAAAAGGAGTTTAACAACATCTCTTAAATAGGTTTTTCCCTCAAAGTGTTTAGAATGCTCGACTTTATGAGTTTTAGAGGCCATTTTAGGGGAGCATAGTAGTAGATGAGTATAATGTAAAGTTCACTCAAGTGTCCAAGTATATATAACATCTTCTACCTACTGAGGAATGCAGGGTGAAGAGGTTCATTAGAAGACTTAAATCTTTGATGTATATAATGATTGTATCTCAGGTTTTTCCATCCCGCTCCTCAGTTGTTAATAACACTAGTTTGATAAAGGCGTGAGAATTAAATAACATAGTTGTAAGCCTGATTAGTACTTAAAAATGCATTCTCATTAAGGATTTATGTCATCATATTGCACCTAAAGTATCATTAAATTCCCTAACAAAAGCATGTTTTATATTAGCAAGTCTAAAAATATAATATACCTTTAATTCATGGTAAATGTTCATCCTAAATGCAGGTCTATCACATAAATAAAAGGATTGATTGATGAGTTTAAGGATTGAAATTGAAAGGATAAAAAGAAGGCCAAACTTAGCAAAGTGTTGCTGGTGCATTCCAAACTCGAACACCGTTCAGTAATTTGATCATATCTGGAGCTGTAGATATCAGATTTAGGTCCATTTTATATCAATGGAAAGGTAAGACATAGACCTACAACTTTTATATGAAGTCAAAGACTCAGTTCTGCCGTTTTCAAGCCCAAATCTTAGCAACAATGAAGACGTCAGAAGTTGTCCTGCACCTCAAGCACTATTCGGTTTTTGGCTCATATCTTGAGTTCTAGAAGTCCAAATGAGCTCTGGTTTTTTTTTTTTATGGAAAGCTGAGACAATTGCCCACAGTTCCACAATTCAGTTGGCTATAATTCTGATGTGAGCAATGACTTTTTGGCCAGCCAACAATATAAAAAATCAGCCCACAATATCAAAAAACCAGCAGCCATTAATGTCAAAAACCAGCCACCAAATCAATGGATGCCCACCAATTCTTCAATCAATCAATAGTTCTGAAACTTAGCCTATAAAAGGAGGCATTGTCCATGTATTTAGTCATATTAATTTTCAAATCAAAGTTATCTTCTTGCTTTCTCTCTACATCTTTGTAATGTTCAAGTTTTCTTTTATGCTATAGTAATCTCTTGGTTATGCTCTTTCATTTCCTTTCCTATACTTAGTTAGCTTATATTATGTTTATGTTCTTATATTGTTTATTTGTGTTTTTCTCCTTCTTAATGTTTAGCTAAGTTAATTATGTCAAGGTGAAAAGGTTTCTCTAATGGTGTTAGAATAGGTATAATATAAACTCAACATGAGCTTTAAATGTTTATATCCAAGAAAGATTGTTATTAACATGTTTTATCTTTTTATCTTACTAATTCTTAATACCTTCCTTATTAAATGTTTAATTTAGATTTGTGTTGTATAATATTTGGTACATCAAATGCTTGATCTTTCATAGTTTTCGGCCGAAATCGTTATTATGATAGAAACTTGATTTGT